ATGTCAGCTCCACTTTTACTTAGTCCAACAGGGACCAGATCATCACTCTGAAGTTGCAAGTGCAGTATTCTGGCCACAGAGGGCAGTGGAGGTCTGAGTGACATTTCATTAACTCTGTAATGGGCCATTTTAGCATAATCTGGCTCGAGAAAATTATGTAAAAATATGAAAAAGTTGCATAGTGTGGCCTAAAGCGTCAATATGTCGTTTTTACCATTAATCTCTGGAAATATCAATCAAAATGTTGTTGAAAATGATTAAAATGATGGTCGGTTGTTGAAAAATATTGCCGGCTTCGTAAAATGTAACCATGAAATTTGGATCTTAAATACGTAGCGGGTCTATAGCCTAATTTATACCTCTCCCTCTGAGTCAGGACGTAGACAGGCAACACAATTATTTGTCCTTTTGAAGGCTCTCCGGCAGACTCGCAAGGACGGCCATAGTCGAGCTCTCTTTTCTAAACATCCATCCATCGAGACGGAGAATGCAAGCTTGTGATTGGTCAGGACGCCGGTGTCTACAGCGCCGCCACTGCTGAAGATAACTAGCGGCAGAGACAGTGAAGCTTGAAGAATACCTCACGAAAAAACTCTAAAAATATTAATGTTTTTATTCATCCATGATTGGAGGAGTAAAAAGATTCGCAGCAAGCATTTTATTCATGGACAGAATTGATAATTGCTGTTAGATAAGATGAGGATACAATGACAGAATGTTGTCAACAACACTGATTTCTACTTCTACTATGGTTTAATGTTGTATGCATGCCGTAGAGCCTCATGCCACCCCCTACAGTCTGGGAGAATATTGGAAGGAAACAATAAACGCTGCAAGTTCTAATGCACGTTTCTTCCAAGCGTCTCATTTCTGAGCGGAATGTACATGAGTCAAGCATAAACCAAGCACTGACATATTAGATGCCATCTTTTCTTCTACATGCATTGCTTGGTTCTTTTACAACAAAAAAGGGGTAGTTCTTTACCTTGTTTTGCTAATGTTTCGGCTAATTTCTATAGTCATCCTCAGATCTAAATAGAGAGATAAACGGAGACCGAAGTGACGCCACCAACATCGGCACAGCTCTGAGGATGACTATTGAAATTAGCAGAAACTTTAGCAAAACAAGAACAACACTTTGTTTCTGTGTTTTAAAAGAACCAAGCTATGCAAGTTGACAAAATATGCAGGTGGAATGTGCAGAAGTTGCTTCTACGTGAGCCTGAAAGGACAAAATGCATTTACTGTTTTGTAACAAGCAGTTACAAAAGTTTCACCATCCGTAAACCTTGTGTTCCACATTTAACTCTTCACTCATTGCCAGTGATGAAAGTGAGTCTGATGCTTGTCATTTTGCTGGAGGTTGAACAATTTGATGAAAAACTCATTCAAAAATGGAACTCCCAGGGATTTTTGACCCTAATGGCCATCCGTTGGTAAAGTCTTACTCAAACCCCAATGTTTTTGACAGTTTGTGGAATAATGAACTCTCCAGCTAACTTAACAGCTTACTTTTGAAAATGTTATTCTCTTAATAAAAGTATTGTATTACTTCTAATCAACATACATACCTACTTATAATCCCGAAAGGTGGAAGGTAGGAATGATTTGCACACCTTGCCAACTCTCTTAACGTTTGAATTTAAACGTAAAATTACAAATGTTTTGAGCCACAAACGGCGGCTTGTCTACAACACAAAACTTTATTTTTAGACACTTTAAAGTATCGTGTTCTTTTTGCATCATTGGATTGCATTTTGGATAGTTATACACGTTTGCATATGCAGGTATTAGATCTACATTGGTAAAAAGACCAATACATTTAAATCTTGGAGATTTTTGGGTGAAAGCTTGATTCTTCAGAACAGCTCCTAAAATGTGTGACTGGAGGTTTCGCTTCGACTTCCTTAGATCATGCTCGGCACAGACCTTGTAGAATGAACCAGCCTCCCTGCTGACCCATTTTATGGGAATCTTTTCAAGCTATTTTACTTGAGTGTTCAGATTCTTCTCTTCTAACCAGCAGCCTATAAAGAGACTAGCATTCTTACGGTTTGAATTCCTGCAAGAATATGTTAGTAAATGTCTTTATGCTGAATTGTCAGTCAGATATATACGTCACTGGTATGAATCCATTAGCGTTTTCGTTTGATTTTTCAGATAAAAGTACAGTTTAGGGAGCAAAATGGGCAAAGTAGCAGAATTTTTTGACACTTATTGGCACATTTCTAGTAGCTCTCCATAAGCTCATGTCTGGTGGACTGTCAAGCCTTTTCTTTAAAGTGAAAAAGGCACTCTGTGTGCCAAAACTGAAATGTTACAGTTTTTTACTGCAATTCCAACCCAAATGTGAAACTGAAAAACATTATTAGTTACAATAGCGCCTAATTATGCATGCAAATATGAGAGTTGAGAACTGACGCTAACAGCTTCCACATTTTATACAACTAGCATGGGACAACGTTCCAGAGCCAATGAATATGTGCAATTATAACTCACAAAACAATGTAAAATAGATCAGAGCTTTAATGGTGACTGTGATACCACATTTTTGGTATTTTTTCATACTCAAGACATAACAGTGAGTCTGCATCATGTAAAAGGATTCAAAATACCACATCTGTAAGTACAAATGCTCATACAAAAACACTGTGATCCAACTGTCAGCGCTGACAGTAGCGTTTATATTAGAATATCTGCAACATCATCTGCTAGATTCTCCATCTCTGATAGGTACAAAATAGACAAAAATAATCTCATATAGATTTTTCATAAATTTTCCAAAATATTTCCAAGTGATCACAGCATAAAATCATCAAAGACTTTCTGGATTCATTAAATGCTAATGTGAAAATAAGTGTCTTTTAATCACATGTTTTGCCTTTTATCATCATCATTTCACTGTAAATATCTTTAACAACTCTGCAAAAAGAATATTTTTTATAATTAAAACAAAAAACTTAAACAGAAACTTAAGGGAAAGACATAAAAACTATGTAATGTTGCATGATCAGTAAAATTTAAATAATAGTTACAGGTATGGTTCACATAAAATGTCTTTGAGGCACTCATTGCCTTTTAACTACTGTAGCCCTGCCAGTGATAAACGTTGGTAACGTCTCATTTACACCGAGTACGGCACAGATGCGGTCCTATTTTTGTTCGGCAGTGAACCTCAACTGGTGGCCCGAGGGCCACATTTAGACCACAAGACTTTTCCGCCCAGCACCCCAACCCTAACACCCCCCCATTTGGGGGATTTTGAAGCTTAGCAACAAAATTCATGTCCCCTTTATGTTCACCAAACACATTAAAACAACAATCAAGAGATTTTAGATGGAAAACAACAGCATTTTAAATATTAATAAATTAAGATACAATATACTTGAACTTAATTTTAGAAGAGCATCTGGCCCTCCAGCTCTTGAACAAATTTAGCTGAAGACCACATGGCTTCCGGAAGGACTGCCATTTACTACAAATATGGCTCATGTGCAGAACGTCTCTGGAAATTTTCTCCGGTGAGAGCACCAAATCTCGGGGGTTTACATGGCCTCATGTTTTGAAATAAGAAAGATACCGGTACCTAACATACACAGTGAGCTGTCATTAGAAAAAATTAAAAAAAAAAGCCGGGGAAAAAGCAGCATGGGTTTTATTTTGAAATACCCCAAATGCACCATACTGAGCCATGTCTCACTTCCTGTGTAAATATGCATATGGATCCACACCACACTGCAGTTGACAGTACTGCTCTGATTGGACTCAAGGACTTTTGGGCCTAGTCCACACGTAGCCGTTTTTTTTATAAACGAATATCCGCCCCTCCAAAAACTTGTATCCACACCACCTCGTTAAAAAAAAAAACTCTGTCCACACGTACCTGGATAAATACGTTGTTAAGGACATGCCAGACCTGTAGGCGGCAGTACTTCCCCCGTTCTTAACCTCGTCCTTCATCTGTGGTCTTCCGCAAGGAGCAGTAACTCCGCTTGCAAAAACAAACAAGCAAAAAGCGCTTGGACAATTGATAAAGCAAGCGCAGCTCTGAGGACATCCATGCTGTCGGCTAGTGTAAACACAGGTCGCACACGTGATGTCAGCATTTTTTGTCGCGGAAAGTGACGTTGCGGACCTTAAAACTCCGGTTTTGTCTGTCCACACGCAGACACCCAAAACGGAGAAAACGCAGATCTTCACTTTGGCCGGAGTTTTTAAAAAGATCCGTTTTCGTGTGGATGACAGGCCAAAACGTAGAAAAATATCTACGTTTTGGCAGATCCCCGGCTACGTGTGGACAGGGCCTTGGTCTCTGCAGAAGCCGCGCTGAGTTCAGACCACATCTTTACCTTACTCGGTGTAAACGAGGCATTAGCTTTAACTCAACATTTGAAATAAAAGGTGAGTGCAATCACCTCTCAGTGATTGGAGCTTTTGCAGCTGAGGCACATGTTTTATAATGACTTTCTGAAACAATTAATTATAAAAGAAGTGTTTTTCAGCATGGCCAGTCATAGTTTCGTCATAGGTATGTGTAGGCTGTTCCAGGGTCCCATCCACAGCTCCTCTTCGTCCGATATCGTGTGATCGCTGTGTGACTCCAGTGTTTCCCGACTGTTCTTGTGGCTGTCGACAGAAGTCTCTTGCTCCTCGCTGATACACGTTCCGCTGCTTTTTCTGTCAATTATGGTCTTGGTAATGTTGATTTTTGACCCAAAACCTTTTACTTCTGTAATTACAGAGCTCAAGGAGCCACAGGAGGACAGGGTGTTGAGGTTTACGTCCTTGTTGGAATTAACACACGTAACCTTTCCATTTTCCGTGTTGTTTTCTGACTCCTCAGCGTTCCCAACAGGAGCGGGTTCTTCGTGAGTTACGCCCAACTTGTCAAGTTTTTTAAAATGCTTACTTAGCCGGCATGGAGAGCCCATCTTCAGGTTGTTTAAATGAGAAGGCCGCCTGGTTCGGACAATGGTGCCGTTCTGGGCCAGGTAAACATTCCCGTTAATGTTGCTGTGACTGTTGGGGAGTCTGTTCCGCTGGCTCTCCGTAGAACTCTCCTCTCCGGTGGAACTGGTCTCATTCTCCCGATCTACCGTAAGTTTTATCCGCTTCTTTCTCCCGGACTGTGAAACAAGGAAGAAGAAGGTCAATGTCAACATTTACACAATTTTCACAGAGTGTGCAGCTCTCTGCTAAATAAAAGCTGCTTTAAAAACAAACAAACTTTAGTCGACCCAATATTCTGTTTTCTCGCTTGAAGCTTTGATATTTTCTGGGGTCTACTTCCATGAATTCTTACGAAACAAACTCAATAAACCTCTAATGTTTATTTTTATTTTAATACTTCATTAAGATAATCTTTAAAATCCAAATTGGAGTTAGTCTGAAATCCTGAATGGTTAATGTCTTCTTATTTATGCAGACATTTGGTTATAAATCTATCATTTTTGATTGAGTTCAATTTCTACTTTTCAACCGAAATTATTTTATCTACTAATGTTTGATTTTAAAGTATACTGGAAAAAAATCCAACTATTCATCAGCCAAATCAGAACATTTTGTCACATACTACATGTTTATTCACACTTAAGCATTACTAGTACCTTCGCTTAAGCTCTAAATAAATTTACAGTGGAAAAAAAAGCATTGTTTTTGGTCAAATATTAACATCAAAGGCAAAAACTCAGGACAAACACACAGGGTCTCAGTGGAAGTACGACTATATAGCTGAACAAATTCAAATGCATGACAAAGCACACAGAAAACATCAAAGAGAGGAAAAAGTCAAAGATGTAAGGAAAAGTGAGATTCAGATAATTTGCAGGCGAAAACTGCAACGCTTTTTCACTGAACAGGAAAATGAGAAAAAAGTGGACATTTGAAACAGTCTGTAGATGCAAGCAGTATTTTTTCACTCCCATGCAAAGGTAATTGATTTTATTCACTCTTACTTCACAGGGTCAATATCTCCCTAGAAGGATGTGGAGTTCCCTTCAGACTCTGAATCACCATCTGATGTTTCCTCAGTTTCATCTGAGCCTTTTGATGCTCTGCCACTCCTTGATGCAGAGCCACTGACTGAAGATTTGTCAGAAGAGATGGCATCCTCGTCCACCTCAGTGATGGGGGACAGTCCTCCATATGTCTCGTCAGAGGTGCTTCTTATCTCTGTGCTGTAAGCTTGTCCGCTGTATGAGGCAGAAGGCCCAGGGTCTCCAGACGCCACACTGGACCTCCTGGATAATGAGTCATCACTCATCTCGCTGGCAGAGTCTTTGCTTTCATGAGTTGATTCAGATTCTTCCTCCTCCTCCTCCTCTTCTTCACTTTCCTCTGTGATTGTTCCCTCTGAGCCACGGCTCAGGAGTGACTTTCTGGATTGCCGACTCCAGTTGGTGGACCGGGAACCTGCTGAACTCCCTTCGCTCTGGTCTGTCACCTGACTACGAGTCGAGGACCTCTCGCTTCTCTCTGAACCTGACTGTGTTTTCTTGCTGGACCCACGAGATGAAGAACGTTCACTTCCTGACACTGACTCTGCGTCGCTGGCTGTCCCGGTTCCTGACTCAGCCTCGCTCTGATCTTCGCTGGACTTCCCGGAGGTCAATTGTGACGATCTGGTTCTCTGCGATGATCTAACGCTGGAGCCAGATAGGGATGCAGCACTGCTAATGCTACCGCTCTTACTTCTGCTGCCAGTCCCACTGACACTACCACCAGAACCAGAGACACTGCTCCCCCTGCTGGCTTCAGTGGCTGATGATCTGACAGAAGAACGTGCAGAGGAGCCGCTTTCTCTAGAGCTCTCTGTAGTTTCTTCCTCCTCAGACTCTTCATCAGAGTCTTTCTCTGTTTCTGACTCTTTTTCCGTTGCTGTCCCTGTTCCTGATTCTGTTTCCTTCTCAGATCTGGACTCTTCTTCGGAGTCTGACTCTTTCTCAGTTTCTGACTCCTTTTCTGTGACCGATTCTTTCTCTGAGTCTGAGTCCTTCTCTGAGTCGGACTCGCCCTCTGTACCTGATTCCTTCTCACTGACTGACCCCTTCTCTGTTTCCTCCTCCTCAGATTTGGACTTACTTTCCTCGTCAGAATCCTCGGGTTCATCGGGCTCTTCCTCTGAGTCTACGGTGCTCTCGTTTGTATCATCCCTGTCTAAATCGACTACGAGATGATCTTTGTCAACGCTGCTTTTCTCTGAAGCTTCCTCATCAGAATCTCTCTCCTCACTTGCACGTTCTTCAGGCTCACTCTCAGTCACACTAATAGACACTTTAGATTTCCTTTCATCTTCACTGGCTGCTTGTGAGGTCTCCTCATCTCTCTCGCTCTCTGCGACTGAGCTCTGACTCACGCTGCCCTGTGACTTCCTCCTGAGCCGCAACTTGTTGCTGATGTTAATTCTCTTTAAAACTTTGCTAAGCCGGCTACGAGCATCGGACTTGCTGTCTATTGGACCCATAGCTGCTGGGCTGTCAGTGAGACTCTCCTGGCTGTCAATGCGACGAGCTGACATCAGTTTAGCATAATCCTTGTCCTTCTTACCAGCGCCAAACATCTTGAGCATCTTGGCTTTATTCCACGGAGATAATCCAGAAGGACCAGCGTCAGATGGTGGCTCTCCTCCCTTGCTTGCAGCCAGGAATTTGCTGAGTTTCATGACAGACTTCAGTTTCTTGGCGGCCTTGGAAGGCTCACCTTCTTGTGCTGGCTCAGCTTGTTCAATTTCCTCCTCTGGCGGCATGTCCCTAAAAGCAACCCTCTTCGGTGCACCTCTACCTCTCATGCCACCACGACCTCTGCCTCGGCCCTAAGACAGTCATAATTTATTTAGCAACCTTTTGCAATGACAGTCAGGCTGCTGGAATGTTACACAGGGCTCTGTTTCAATAATAAGCTGGACATTTACAGCCTATTAGAGAACATTCTTGCCATTATAATGGTAATAAAAGAAATCCCATCGAATGAAAGGTAGTACCTCAGGGCCAGCGTAGTAATACCCATCATCCTCCATGATAACTTCTCCATATTCATCATACATGGGAGGTATCAGCCTTCTTCGGCTGCCATACTGGGGGAAGTTGTACCTGAGAAACACACAAAACAGAATCAGGTTCTAACATGCAGAACTCCTTTAAATTGGACAACTGTTTTGTTTTCAACCATCCCCATGGAGCAAATTACATCAGAACACAGAGTTCCAGTCTGTAAAACAAATGGCCACAGACAAAAAACAAACACCATGTCATTAAAAGGATCTATTTTTAGACTTAATGTACTTAAGGAGTCAGTGTGGGGGAGAGACATAAATAATCTGTCACTGAGCCAAGAATAACAAACAACCACAGCACACACTTGATCAATAGTCACTTTTTTTGACTTATAAATGTGTACCGTTTTAAAATGGAATATTGATCTTGATGCCTTTACTAAAATATGACATATGAACAAATCTGACCCAAAAGTTATTTTGATACAAATTATAATGGGATTAAAGTAGTTGAGGTAATTTTAATGTTGCTAAAAGAAACAAAAAGACACCCATTACACTCCATTCTAGTCCCGATTCTATTTAGTTTTCTGACGGATATTTTTTATTAAAGGTGCAACATGTAAGAATGAAGTACGACTGACATCCTGTGGACACATTTGGTTACTGCAGTAAAATTTTCAGAGCAAACTTTTACTTTCACACTGCCATTCAGTGAGTTTCGTGCCTGTAGACAATTACGGATCAGCACCGGAAGATTCTATATGACAAACAAAGACGAGACACACACAGTAAGTTGATAAGTAGATAAATACATTTCTGATGTTAGCACTCTTGAGGAAGTGTGGTTGTTTGCCACATTGCTGTTATAGTTCTGAATGACTCATTAACTCATTAACTGCAATTGACGCCAAAAGTCGTCGTTTTAAATAAAACCGAATACATTTTTTACTGAATGGGCGTCGGAACGAGCCCCCACACCATGTAAACAAACATTCCAGCTCTAAAGCCGATCTTCATCCGCATACCTCACACGTCACGTGATCAGGAAGCAGAAAATCCATGTGTTAGGAGAATGTTTTGGGCCGCTGCTGTAAAAAAAACTGAGGCGCGAATCAGAAAAGCTTCTGCTGATCACAGTTCGACAACGGATTATGAAAGAAGGATAACATGCGGATTCTTCCTGATTGAAGAGGTGAGTCTCCATTTTGTTTTAGAAGTTTTGGCGTTGACATCATAGACCGCAACGTTCTGTGACTCTTAAAAAAACTGAAAACTCTGAAAAACGCTGGCAGCGAAGAGCTTTTCTGATCAGGAAACAGCTGCCAGTCAATGAGGTAAAGGAAGTAAAACACTACGAGTAACTATTTACTTCACACACAATTTACTGTGATTGAAAGTAGCTAGAGATCATGTTAAAGCAGACTATTTTTTCTAAGTCACTGCTAGCATCATTAGCTCAACGTTAGCCTCTAGCCTGGTTCACCCGATGGAGTAAAACAAAAACATGCCGTGTCTTTTTAGGGTCACAAGAAACAACCTCGGGGTTGCTATTCTTTACTATCTTTGGTTCTTTAAACAACTCTGGAGCTTTTTGCCTGCTGGTGTTGAATGCTGCAGCATTAGCTCGGCACAGACTCTCTGATAGTAAACAGTGACTACGTCCTTCGTTTTTTTATATAAAGGAGAGAAACTGATAATGCCTAAGAATGAAATCAGTTTTCTTCTAACATGATTGAGACATTAGACTGTTTTGTGACTATTTTACTGAAGAATTTCGATATAATGTTCCTTTAATCCATCATAATAATTCATCTGATTATTTTAAAAAACCTTTTATTTGTTTTCACCAGTTGGGTTTTCATCATTGGTGTAGAAGATCCACACTTGCTACCCTTTGATACATTTGAGAAGCATATTTGACATGTTTGCGATGATAGAGAGAAATGAAGGCACCTAAAGGAAAAAGGTTAGTGGTAATTTATGTGTGCGCCACCTTTTGAACATTGAGTACACACAGTCTACTGAATGCCAGATTAAAAGTTTAACCACCAGGTAAAGGTGTCTCTCGTTTTAAATACAAAAATCCCGATCAGAAGTACAAACATCACAGAGATGGTACTTAATGCTTGTAGCAGCTTTTTACAATAACTATTACAAAATCTCTTTGAAAATGTAGTGACACCTCTTGAAACATCCACTGCGATTCAGACATGTAATTAGAATTGGTAAAGGTGACATGGAAGATTAAGCAGGTGAGTAACTCATGTAGAAATTACCACCCGTAATTTCACTAAGCAAAGTTTTTACATAAGATAGATGTTCTTTGCTTTGATCTAAGCTTGTAAGGTGTTAAAGCTTCTGATAAACCTGCGACGTAATTCCCAAAGTGGTGCAAGTCACCTGCAACAGAGCAAGAGTGTCTAATGAATAACAATTTCACAGCAGCTGGCATAGATTTTAGCTGCATGCGTTTTCCCCCTTTAGCCTCTTTAGACCATATGGGCAAGCCAAAAACCCTGCATCCATTAAACTTAGAAACGCTTTCAAAGGCTCGGGTGTTAAAGCAGCATAAATGATCTCATTTGGTGAGAGTTGAAGGGTTAAATGCTGTGTTGGTATGAAATATGACGGAGTGGAAAAAATGTGAAAAAAACTGTCTTTGAAACTGTTTTGATCTCTCCTCTCAAAATATATCAGCATGAAGGTGAGGTCAAAACAGATAAGGATGAAAGTTTTAAAGTTGTTGAGTGAGGCAGTGCCTATGCCTTCCTACCGGAGGATGTAAGTGTCTGTATTCTCACCCTTGATCATAATTATAGTAGTCCTGTGAGTAGTAATCCTGACCCGGGTCGATACCGGACTCCACTGAGAGTTCCTGCATTTCAAAATGGAAGACAAATATATTACTCAGCACTTTTTTACAGAACAAAAAAAAAAATTCAAAACAAAGGAGACTAGTAGCAGCAGCAAACAGAGTGAGAATACAAGGAGAATGACCACAATCTCAGGGAACAAGGAAAAAGACAGAAGTACTTCTACCTCAGGTCTCAGAAGAGATGGCCTCAGCAGCTGCTGTTGCTGCCCAAAGGTTAGTACAGAAGAGGGGGAAGGTAATGAAAGGAAAGGGTAGTCAGGAAAGATGCAAGGATATGAAGACCTCAGCATTTTGTTTCTAATCCAAACTCTGATTTTCTGTATGCGTCATTCTTGGTTTATGATATGAAGGATAAAGGTAAAAAGACCGATGCAATAGTGATGGAAACAAAGAAAGTAGAACAGGGAAGATGCTAAACAAGCAACAGAGACAAAAACATCTTCTCTTCAGGTATATCAACCACACATCAACAGTTCAGATGACCCATGATACGGAGAACAGTAGTAATGTTTTACAATAGAGCCTGATTAAGACATTTTCAAAATGTTTTTTCTACATTTTAAAAAGAAAATGAAGAAATCAGATAAGATTTTACATCCATTGGGTCTACTCTGTCATCAGTAGTGGTCCGGCCGGACCCATATCTCCGGTTCTTTGACCCGCAGGGGAGGGTCGATCGGTACAAAGTTGAACTTTATTACAGTTACTTTTAACTTTCAGTCATTTCAGTAGCCTCTTTCAGAAAACAATGCTACCAATGTGCCACAGCGCCGAGCTGGCATCAGCGAGCCTTAGGTCGTGTATAAGTGGTCAGACCGTGGTGGTAATGTGGTGCAATTGTGTCCTTTTTACAAAAGATTACACAATGGCGGTATTAAAGGGGTACGGGGGTGGTCTCTGCATGCTTTTGATTGTGATCGAAGACCAGTTTTAACCAGGAAAGATGTGAATACCACTGCTGTTTGCGTCTAATCTACCCAGGTCAGCGTTCTGAGATTAAACTAATTATCTAACCAGATTGACAAATCAAATGTTTCCCATCACGTGAACTGAAGATAAGCTATTAACTACTTTGTTTCCATCAGTAAGAAAGATATCTCTGGACTAAAAATGAAAATAAAAGCATCAAAAGACCAAACTGCTTACCTGCCTGCCGTAGCCTCGCCTCCTGAGAATCATAGAAAGAAGGAAATAAGACAAACAGTGAATAAAGATTGACAGCAACTTTCATAAAAGAATAAAAATAGTATGTCTACAGGACTATTCTGCTGACCAGTGAGGAAACTACAGCTTTACTTACTGTGCATTTTCATGTGTTATATTAGAGTTGCAGATATTGTTCAGTTTTCAAAAGGTTGCCTAAAGCTGCACGGCTATCCTGCTGGTATAGACATTTTCTTGCTCACCTTGTTAACTCATCCAAACAAACAAAGAAAGATGTAATAAATGCAAACATCAAAGTAGCAGAAAAGATTGAAAAGTGGGAAAAAGGTTTACACAGCTGAATGGGGAGAATATAACTGGAAGATACAATAAGTTTGAGGGGAAAAAGTCTGACTAAAATCTTCCATTAAGGAGATTGGTGTTTAGTTTGTTTATGTTAAAGGGGAACTAGACAGTTTTGGCTTGCTTTTAGCACCCCTAGTGTCCGTTTGTAGAACTGAAAGCAAAACTCCTTGCTGTGCGTTTGTCTTTTTCACACCTTAATCAAACAGCTGACATGTCTCCCAGCCTTCCTCACCCCTTCTGCACACTGGAAGCAAAAGCGGCGTGGAATGGCAGCGAAACGGCACCGCTTCCAATGGAATCCATTATAGTCGGGAGTGTAACAAACCAGCCACGACGCAGCAATTTTCAGAAGCGGCACGCCCCGCCGCTAAAGATAGGATCGGGTTCAAATTTTTTTTGTGAGCTGCTTCTGGGATGCGTCATTCACCACTAATGTAGGGCTAGACAGGATATCACACACACGGTTTCAGTGTAAAATCACAGGTAATTTTCAAAATAAAAGTATCGCAGCTATACAGTGGTGTGAAAAACTATTTGCCCCCTTCCTGATTTCTTATTCTTTTGCATGTTTGTCACACATAATGTTTCTGATCATCAAACACATTTAACCATTAGTCAAAGATAACACAAGTAAACACAAAATGCAGTTTTGAAATGATGGTTTTTAATTATTTAGGGAGAGAACAAAATCCAAATCTACATTGCCCTGTGTGAAAAAGTAATTGCCCCCTGAACCTAATAACTGGTTGGGCCTCCCTTAGCAGCAATAACTGCAATCAAACGTTTGTGATAACTTGCTACGAGTCTTTTACAGCACTCTGGAGGAATTTTGGCCAACTTGTCTTTGCAGAATTGTCGTAATTCAGCTTTATTTTAGGGTTTTCTAGCATGAACCACCATTTTAAGGTCATGCCATAGCATCTCAATAGGATTCAGGTCAGGACTTTGACTAGGCCACTCCAAAGTCTTCATTTTGTTGTTCTTCAGCCATTCAGAGGTGGATTTGCTGGTGTGTTTTGGGTCATTGGCCTGCTGCAGCACCCAAGATCGCTTCAGCTTTAGTTGACGAACAGATGGCCAACATTCTCCTTCAGGATGTTTTGGTAGACAGCAGAATTCATGGTTCCATTTATCACAGCAAGCCTTCCAGTTCCTGAAGCAGCAAAACAACCCCAGACCATCACACTTCCACCACCATATTTTACTGTTGGTGTGATGTTCTTTGTCTGAAATGCTGCGTTACTTCTACGCCAGATGTAACGGGACATTTGTCTTCCAAAAAGTTCGACTTTTGTCACATCAGTCCACGAGGTATTTTCCCAAAAGTCTTGGCAATCATTGAGATGTTTCTTAGCAAAATTGAGACGAGCCCTAATGTTCTTTTTGCTTAACAGTGATTTACGTCTTGGAAATCTGCCATGCAGGCCATTTTTGCCCAGTCTCTTTCTTATGGTGGAGTCGTGAACTTTGACCTTAATTGAGGCACGTGAGGCCTGCAGTTCTTTAGAAGTTGTCCTGGGGTCTTTTGTGACCTCTCGGATGAGTTGTCTCTGCACTCTTGGGGTAATTTTGGTCGGCCGCCCACTCCTGGGAAGATTCACCACTGTTCCATGTTGTTGCCATTTGTGGATAATGGCTCTCACTGTGGTTCGCTGGAGTCCCAAAGCTTTAGAAATGGCTTTATAACCTTTACCAGGCTGATAGATCTCAATTACTTTTGTTCTCATTTGTTCTTGAATTTCTTTGGATCTTGGCATGATGTCTAGCTTTTGAGGTGCTTTTGGTCTACTTCTCTGTGTCAGGCAGCTCTTATTTAAGTGATTTCTTGATTGAAACAGGTGTGGCAGTAATCAGACTTGGGGGTGGCTACCGAAATTGAACTCAGGTGTGAAACACCACAGTTGGGTTATTTTTTAACAAGGGGGCCAATTTTTTACACAGGGAAATGTAGGTTTGGATTTTGTTCTCTCCCTAAATAATAAAAACCATCATTTAAAAACTGCATTTTGTGTTTTCTTGTGTTATCTTTGACTAATGGTGTTGCGAGTCTCCACATGCCAAAGACAGTGGCAAGCTGAAACACACTGGACTGGCTTGTGCGAGCAAAATCAGCCAGCCGACAGGAGCTGGGCTGCAGGTCAAAAAACTGTGGTCAGAAACAAGGGTCACTCAAGGGTCACAGGGACAAGAGGACAGAACTGGGCGAAGGGTCAGGAGACTGACCCCACCTCTTTGCCCTACCCCTGGCTTGGAAAGATGGGATTGGAGGAGAACAGAGTGAAGACAAGCCCATCAGATCCAGAAGCCTTCTCGGGAACATTGGAGAGAAACTGAAGAATGCTGCAAAAGATGATGTAATGACCTGTGTTAAGAAGAATGCTGCATGTAGTGAAAATGACACCAAATGTTTTATGTTGAGCTACAAAGTGTGTATCTGGTAAATGACCCCTTGACCTTAAGCTGGTCCAGGAAGGGTATATAAGAACAGCTCTGAACAGCAGAGAGAGATTGGGAGAACGGACAGCAGCTGGGGCAGAGGACAAGAAGAGACAGAGCAGATGGGGAGGGGTCATCCCCCGTCCAAACCTGGATGGGGGATGACAGAGAGAGAGACTAGAGAGAGTTCTTGGGGAGATTCTGAGAAGACAAGAGCTAGTGTAAACTAACTCTTATTTAATCATTTTGAACTAATTCCTCCATGGGGGATAGCAGTTGTTTTTCACTTTACCCATTTTTGTATTTTGATTTTGTAATAAATTTTTTTTTTTGAAAAATAAACACAATCCTGATTCTTTCAGGTTTTCTCTAAAGCTTCACGAGTGGGGGCTCTGATCATAATTGCACAGAGGTAAGCATGTCGAAGATCGGTCTCTGAATTATCAGGACTTACTTTACAGTTTATAACAGAATAATATAAAGAAACCTTAAGATAAGGGAAGTTTTAACTTCCCCCTCCTTGCGAGTAACGAGTTGTCTTAAGGGCGATAAAAGCAAAATATTCGAGGTTATTTTGGCTCTGATTGCAGGTTGAAAAAGTCTCTAATCAGCTGGAAGGTTGGATTAATAAATAAATTGATAAAATTATGATAGCCTGATCAACTAGCATAAATCATTTTATAGTTACCAACCTCCCACATAAGCTGTTAGAGGCGCAATTAATTCCGGGTAATCCAAACAATTGCTGAGAGGCTTGGCTTGCCTCCAGACTTCTCTCTAGTATCTTAACCAAAAGGTAACGAGTTTAAAAGAAAAGTAGTACTCTGGGGCTGGCTATTCGTGCAAGTCATTTCACCTTTAAAATAAAAGGCAAGATTCTAATTAGGTAGTCCAAACCCGGATCTAGTACAATTATACTCGTCGATACACCCCCGAACCCTGATGGATGCACCGTCTCATAAGTTCTAACGGAACTGGGTTTTAAAGGAACCGGTAAATGGGACGGGCACACGACATGGCGCCCAACGTGGGGCACGACAAATGCCACGTTTGCGACATGGCGCCTGCAACGTGGGGCTACGGAGTGAAGGTCTAAATATTAGATACCGGGCTATCCGACGTAGAACTGTCTTTTAGGCTGATAAAAGCTTGCGCGCTAAGGACCTATTAAGCTTATAACCTTGGAGTGAAAACCGCACCAGTTTCTCGAAAAGGAAAGAAATCTGGGAGAACGGACGATCAACTTAAAAAGGTATAAAGAAAATACGGCATTCCGACGCAAGAAAAGCCAAGGATAAAAGCTAGGCAAAAAATAAAAATAAATAAAGAATAAGAAAAACTTTTA